TGAGTGAAATAAAGGGTTCAGTTCGACATTGTGATAAATATGAGGACAATAGTCCGAATAATGTAAATAGTATACATAATCATCTCAGAAATATAGAAAAGAAACTCTGTTTATTTTATTTATTTTTATTTTGTAGATATTAAAGATTATTTTGTGGGAAGGGCAATTTGGCTGTTATATCCAGTATAACTTATAGCTGGTGAGAGTGGCGAGGAGAAACAAACTCACAGCTTTCCCGAGGGCATTCGGCCGTAATTCGAACTCAGTACGCCCGTATCAGCTTCTTTGTTCTATATCGGTTACACTTGCACCCACTGATCTTTCTACCATTCTTTTCTAAATATGTGTAAAACACACACTTGTACAATGTGAGGAAACATGGCGAATTATATATAGAACGAGTTCGAACAAAGTTTCGTCTTTTTTCATTTATTTCACTAAGGCCGGCTTCTTTACTGCCTTCCACATTGCTGTAAAATATCTTCTTTTCAGCGACAGTTACAATTAGTTTTAAAATAAAGCACTTTTCATAAATCGAAGTAGGTAATCACACATGGAAATATGGTTCAGTTATCTTCTTTCGTTCTGTGTCCATTCATATCATCTATCTATCTATCTATCTATCTATCTATCTATCTATCTATCTATCTATCTCTCTCTCTCTATATATATATCATTCTGTTCATATCTATCTATCTATCTATCTATATATATATATATATCATTCTGTTCATATCTATCTATCTATCTATCTATCTATGTCTCATACTTTATTTATTTATATCTATCTATTCTTATACTTTCTCAGTCTATTCATAGCTATCTATCTATCACAATCTGTTCATATCTATCTACCTATCTATCTCAGTCTCTTCATGTCTATCTATTTATCTATCTATCTCAGTCTGTTCATATCTATCTATCTATCTATCTATCTATCTATCTATCTATCTATCTCAGTCTGATCATACCTATCTATCAGAGTCTGTTCATATCTATCTATCTATCTATCTATCTATCTATCTATCTATGTTTGTATATTTCTGAGATGCGGTATTGTAATTATTTACTTTGTTGGGACTGATGTCCTCATCTTTGTTGCCATATTCACGACGTTTCGGCGGCAGTATGCTCCGGTCTTCTTCAGGTGAACCGAACCCTTTATTTCGTCCATCGAGGTAGATTGTTCTAGTTTCCCGTGCCATGCCAACTCCAGATATCTTAGTATCAGTTATTTCTCTTTAACTCAACTCTCCAAGTTTTTTTTGTTCACCTCTGCTGTAGCAAGGTATTGAACTCACAATGCTTTGGCTCAAGACAATGGATTGCTTCAACGCTTTTATCCACTGGGCCATGAATAAGTGTTCTTCAAGCAAAAGCTTAGCACTGACTGTTCGCCCAATAAACGTCAAATGTTTCCTTATAAGGAAATGTGTGTGTCTACAGCTCCGGCTCCAAAGAGCATTCTACCGACTAAAAGTTTTTCAAAATTTTCTTGTCTCTTGTTACAGTGTAACCCGGATATAAAAGAGTTGTCGGGACCGGAGAAGAAGTCTCTTATATCCGGGTTTCTCTTATATCCGGGTCTCTTATATCCGGGTTTGGTCTATTTTGTTTATCCACAGGCTTTTTGGGACCAGAGAAAATCTTATATCCGGGTTTCTCTTATATCCGGGTTTCTCTTATATCCGGGTCTCTTATATCCGGGTTACACTGTAATTCTCTGTCTTGTGACAATGCTTGAAAACACAAGTGCGTCGTCATTGGTTCAACGTGGCGAGAGTGCTTTGGAACGCGGATGCAATCGAGTTACATAACAGATAGGCATGGCCAGCATGATAAACAGAGAAAGAGAGATTGTCGGTCGGTACGAAGACTATGTCGTCAATTGCAAAAGATAGAAACTAAAGAGAAACTTTTGTAAGGCGACTTGAATATTTTCGGTTAATATTCGTTAAGGAATGTATAGGTTGCACTGATAAAGGCAATCCCTTCGCATCTACATTTGAACCCGAGGCAGTGGGAGGAGGTGGTTGGGAGGGGTGGGGCGTTAGCAGGACGTATTCATTTCTGTTTTTCTTTTAAACATTCGATTTATTGTTTATTTTTGCTGGTTTGTTTTTTTGAATTCTACTTTTTTCTTTTTCTTTATTGCTTTCGTTCTTTCTTTCTTTTTGAACCATTGTCTCTTTTGTCTTTTTTGTTCATCTCGATAGCCATGTACCTTTCTTTCTTTCTTTCTTTCTTTCTTTTGCCCCTTTCTTTTGCCCTTTTCTTTCTTTTGTCCCTTTCTTTCTTTCTTTCTTTCTTTCTTTCTTTCTTTCTTTTGCCTCAATGTATCTTTTATCTTTTTTATCTCCTTAGCAATGTATTGACGATCTTCTTTCTTTCTTTCTTTCTTTCTTTCTTTCTTTCTTTCTTTCTTTCTTTCTTTTGCCCCTTTCTTTTTTCTTTCTTTCTTTCTTTCTTTCTTTCTTTCTTTTGCCTTTTTTTGTCTTGATTTCTGTGTACCTTCCCCTTATTTTCCCTTTTCTTCTCTTTTGTTATATTTATCGTTTTTATTTCACCGTAAAAAATACAACAAATAAAAAACAAACCCGCCTATTCTAAGATCTAACGTAACTTGAACTGTTTACTTAACTGCATTTAAAAAAAAATCACTTGCTTTTATTTAGAATACAATACAAAATGCATTTGTTTAGAGCAGGTGCCTGCTACTGGTCAACTCAGTTCAAAGATTAAGTGAGTTGTGAACCCGGTTTCTTTACGTATAAATAATGGAATCACGCATGTAATCCATACTTCAGCTGTCTCATAAGATGTTCGTACATTTCAATGTACTAGCAGCACATGAGACAGCTGAAGTAGGGATAACCAAAAAAGCCAAATGCCAAATGTATATTCCGAATATTAAAACATAGCCAGATGATTGGCAATGCACCAATATACACACACACACACACACACACACATATATATATATATATCTATGGGCGTGTGTGTATATATCTATCTATCTATCTATCTATCTATCTATCTATCTATCTATATATATATATATATATATATAGAGAGAGAGAGAGAGAGAGAGGCGACAGTCTGTTTCATGCTAGACGCAATGGTCAGGCTACGAGTGTCCTGACGATTGCGTCGAGCATGAAACAGCCTCTCGCCTCTAAGTGTTGACTTCAATGTTCACTTTTACACACGCTCTATCTCTGCTATTGAGCTTTTTATCTCATAAATATAGCAAACCATAAGACTATATTTCTTCATATATATATATATATATATAATTTTGCTTTCACGCTTTCTCATGACTGTCTCTCGTCGCCAGAATTGCACGTCTCGGCTATGAAAGTGATTTCCTTGATGGAAAATGTGGTACTGGCTCATGCTAGTTAGCAGGTACATTTATATTTAGTAGGATCTCCCGATCAAGGCCGGTTGATATTAATTTTACTATTGAAAAAATGAAAAGCCGGGGTGTCATTTCATATATATATATATATATATATATATATATATATATATATATATATATATATATATATATATATTTCATTCATTTGTGAATAAGTTTTGAAAGTTTCATTAAAATCCAACAATTACTTGACTTTTGCAAGAATTTCCAAAATCAATGTGTCTAAAATTTCCTAGACTAATTTTTGCTTTCTTCGTTGACCTAAGAAAAACACAATTCTTAACCACAATTTCGAACGTTCTAAAAAGGATTAAAAGAATAAGATTAAAAGAAAGGATTAAAAGGATTTAATAATCCAAAAAATCCTTTGCTTTTTCCTCTGCATAATAAGAAAGATTTATTAAGTTTGGAGTATTTCTTCACCATGGTATGCTCATCTTTTAGCGAAATATGCGGAGGTACCTGATATATATATATATATATATATATATATATATATATATATATATATATATGTAAATGGAATAAATCCTAAAGACCCAGGAACAAACCTACCTAGGTTTCACCTAAACGGATGTTTGAATTTGCAATAGCCATCTTCAATGAACCTAATGATTTATTAAATCAAAGGTCTAAGATTTTAAATGGGTGTAGGCACAGGAAATCCTGGTTATTAGTATAAAGACTCTGTTTTTTTTCAGTCTTCTTCTGTCACGTGATTTTATGCTAATTATTTTTTAGTGGTTTTATCAATAAAATTGTTTTGTGTCATTTCCTGTTTAGCTAGATTACCCTGAAGATCCGTTTAGGTGAAACTTAGGTAGGTTCTTTCCTGGCTCTTTAGGATTTCTTTCATTTAACCTTGCTCTATTTTACCGTTTTGAGCACTCTACGTTTTAGCTTTATTACTCGCTTGGGATTTTTTCTTTGGACTAAAAACTTAAGGCACTGGACGATTTGTTTCGCCATATTCGGATGTTTCTAGTTCTTTCTTTTTTTACCAATTTTTTTCCTCAGGTACCAATTTGTTTTGATATACTTACAAGCTGTGCTATCCGAGTTTTTTTTCCAACCGAGTATTACTAGTAGGTATATATATATATATATATATAGTTGTAGAATGTATAAATGAACCGGCCAAATATAAGCAGACGTATACGCGTGTGCATGTGTGCATACGCAGGCAAGCAAATAAATAATCGTTAAATTTTTGCATGATGTGTAAACGAAATAGTGCTCAATGCGGTCATACAGAGCAAAGACATCGATTAATTAGTACACATGCGGGTAACTACGTCTTTGTAGTGCGACTATAGTTTCGCTGGCTGGTGTTCCCAGTTCATCGGGCACGCCAAAAAGTATATGTACTAATTAATATATATATATATACTAAATATATATACTAATTAATATATATATATATATATATATATATATATATATATATATATAAACTGATACAGAGTCTACTCCTATCGAAGCTTCGGCCACACAGACTGCCTGAGTAGTGGTAAAGGGAGGGCGGAAGTTATCTGTATTAAAATGACAGAAGCTCCACAAATTCAACCCAGATATTAACCTTAAGACCCCAAATTGGGGTTATAAGTAAAATGAAGTGAAACTAAAGGGTGGCCGAAAAAAGGAGTTTTATAAAATGAAATTTTTAATTATTAATTATATAAAAGAATCGTTTCCACTAAAAATCACCAATATATGCTTACAATTAAGATATCTAAGAAGATTAACATTAAATTATACTTAGATGGTTTATATTAAGAATATATTAAAAAAAATTATATTATTGAGGAATAAAAAAAAATAATTTAACGATAAATATATTATCCATTTAAAATTTAAAGTCAAATTAAGAATACAAACCATACCAAGTAGCATATATATATATATGTGTGTGTGTGTATGTGTGTGTGTGTGCGCGTGTGTGTAATAGTGACCTACTTATTTTGATATCGTTATGACAAACATTTCAAGATGATCAAAATATCAGAATGCCTTTGGGTATGTCTTTTCGAATATGTCCTTGGGTAGGCAATGGAATTTGTGATTAGCGAAATTGGGTTATGCAAACCGCAACAGACATTTACTGGAGTGAACCAGCAAGGTCATGTGGTGACGCTCTTCGGAGACGAGCCACAGTATGTAAATCTAAATTGTTTTTTTTTTACGTTTATTTCGTAAAATGAAGACGGGTTCCAACGAGAAAACATACGAAATTTAAAATAAATAAAATAATATAAAATAAAATAAATAAATAAAATAAAATAAATACAATAAAATACAATAAAATGAGTAAAATAAAATAAATAAAATAAAATAAAATGAATAAAATAAAATAAATAAATAAATAAAATATATAAATAAAATAAAATAAATAAAATAAAAGAAATAAATAAATAAAATAAAATAAAATAAATAAAATAAAATAAATAAATAAAATACATAAATAGATAAAATAAAATAAAATAAAATAAATAAAATAAAATAAAATAAAATGAATAAAATAAAATAAAATAGATAAAATAAATAAAATAAAATAAATAAATAAAATAAATAAATAAATAAATAAAATAAAATAAAATAAAATAAATAAAATAAAATAAAATAAAATAAAATGAATAAAATAAAATAAAATAGATAAAATAAAATAAATAAAATAAAATAAATAAATAAATAAAATAAAATAAATAAATAAAATAAATAAATAAATAAATAAAATAAAATAAAATAAAATAAATAAAATAAAATAAAATAAAATAAAATAAATAAAATAAAATAAATAAATAAAATAAATAAATAAATAAAATAAAATAAAATAAAATAAAATAAAATAAAATAAAATAAAATAAAATAAAATGAATAAAATAAAATAAAATAGATAAAATAAAATAAATAAAATAAAATAAATAAATAAATAAAATAAAATAAATAAACAAAGAAATAAATAAAACCAAATTGTCAGTGTCGTCTTTTTGTTTCATTTTGGTTAATGTCTTCTGAATTTTGTTTTGAATTAGCTAAGAGGCAATTTGTTTCTGTGTCATCATTATGCACTTATTGTCATAAGAATACAACATTAAATACACTATTTACTTTATTCGGACTATTGTCCTCATCTTTGTCGTCATATTTATTACAACGTTTCGGCCGTTGTACGCTCCGGCCTTCATCAGGTGGTTGGGATGTCGAACTGAACCCTTTATTTTGCTCACTGGGGTAGACTGTTCTAGTTCCACGTGCCATGTTTAATGAATGTCAGTTATCAGTTATCTCCTGTTAATTTCCCTCTGAAAGTTCTCCCCTACCTTAACCGGGTATTGAACTCACACGCTTTGGGTCCTGTTACTGGATCTAACTAACGCCTTTATCCACTGTGCCGTTGTAATAAATATGGCGACAAAGATGAGGACAATAGTCCGAATAATGTAAATAGTGTACATAATACCTCATCTCAGAAATATAGACAGATACTGAAAAGCCGAAACGTTGTAATAAATATGGTGACAAAGATGAGGACAATAGTCCGAATAATGTAAATAGTGTACATAATACCTCATCTCAGAAATATAGACAGATACTGAAAAGCCGAAACGTTGTAATAAATATGGTGACAAAGATGAGGACAATAGTCCGAATAATGTAAATAGTGTACATAATACCTCATCTCAGAAATATAGACAGATACTGAAAAGCCGAAACGTTGTAATAAATATGGTGACAAAGATGAGGACAATAGTCCGAATAATGTAAATAGTGTACATAAAACCTCATCTCAGAAATATAGACAGATACTGAAAGGCCGAAACGTTGTAATAAATATGGCGACAAAGATGAGTACAATAGTCCGAATAATGTAAATAGTGTACATAATACCTCATCTCAGAAATATAGACAGATACTGAAAGGCCGAAACGTTGTAATAAATATGGTGACAAAGATGAGGACAATAGTCCGAATAATGTAAATAGTGTACATAATACCTCATCTCAGAAATATAGACATAACATTAAATGTCGTTAAAATGAATTCATGAATTTGGGGGGGAAATACGTTGCATTTTT